TTAGCCCTCCCTCCCTGAGGACAGGGGATCCAGGTGATGGAGAAGTGAATTTTAAATACTGGTTTTGCTTTGTAAAACCATGCAGAGCATGGCTCAGTAAGACTGTCAAGGAGCAATAGGAGTAAAGTGGTGGCTAGAAGATAGTACTGGGAAGCACTCTTGAGGTCCTATCCTGGTAGCTCTCTGGCTTTGGCTAAGACTCTTCTCTTGTGCCTGTATCACTGGAATGTCACGAGAATGAGTTGGTGCTTGTAAAGTGTTTGGGCTGGGATTTTTCAGGTGTTCATCAGCAATTTGTGATTCTCAGGGCCCTGCTACATGTTCAAATTAAAACTAGATAGAAATGAGCTATAGAGTTGTTGCACCTTTTCAAGTACTAACTTTATAGCTGGTTGCCTCTTTTTATAGTTGAATAATCATTTTTTATCGTATGATAATTAGTTTACACATATGACTAATCTAAATTTATTGTTCAATTAACCAGTAAATTGTATAATATATGTTACATGTAGCAGGGTTCTCAGTGAATCATTAGTCAAAGTAGGAACACAAACCAGTGAGGTTTGGTTGGAACAAAAAACTGTTCATGGTGCCAAGATCATGTGAATATTTAGTGCAGATACAGGAACTTCAGCCTTGGAGCTCTTCCTTTTTTTTTTCTGAATACAAATTCATGTAACATCTTATACCATAAAACATCGTGGTTGATTCACATTTTGTGAGTACCAAAGTAGAAACAACCCTTAGAAGTCAGATGCAGGATGGGAGGGTTTATGAATATGAATTCAGAATTCAGTATTCACTTGAAGTGTGCTCTTTGGAAACCTGATGGAAAACCAGATGAAATCACCAGAAATGGTCCTATTAACTCCAATCAACTTGACTCAAGCCCTGCTTTATCGTTCTTGACAAAATGCTCATTTAATAGCATATTCAATTAAAAGGGATGCAGCCGGTGTCCTGTTCTTTCCCAGCAGGAGTTTAGGCAACTGCTGCCAAAGTCTCAGTTGAAGCGTGAGGTTGAGTAACATGTTTTGTGCAATCATGTTGGTTATGTCTTCACTGCAGACATGGCCCCATCCAGCAAGGGGAAAGTTGCCCCACTACAAAACTCTTCTGGCACCAGGCTCATGTAACTGCATCTCAAGTGATCCTGTACTAACAAATCCATGCATCACACCCTGACTTCATTTATAGGTGCGCTTTCTTTTTCTTTCTCTCTCTCTCTCTCTCGCCTATGCTACTGCTGCTGTTGTTGCAGCTCTACTGCAGACAAGAGAGCATAATACTTTGTGTAAATAATTTCCAAGTGGAATTGCTCCTTACTAATGCACTGAGTTCTGAAGGCAAAAGCAAACAGCATTTGGCAGCAAGAACTCTAAATGTGAAAGTCATTAAGGAATTCAGTTCACAAATGACAAAGTGATTCATACCCAAATGACTTCTCTGCCTCTCTGTTTCTTTCCTGTCCACTGAACATAAAAATTGCATTTGAGATCCATTTACCTAGAGGATGTGTTTTACTTCCTCCCACTCAAAATTTTGTCAGCTTCTAGCCAACCAGAAGCATGGGAGAAGAATTGTGGATGGCCTGTCTGTTCAAATCTTGTAGAAGTACAGAAGAAATGGAGTGTGCGAATATGGGGTTCAAATGCAGTGCAGAAGAAGCAAGGTTTTACATAAAGTTCAGGCCAGGTGAAACTGTGGGATAGGGTTGAACTAACAATGCCCCTGGTTCTAGGTTCAAAGTAACTGTTGGTTAAAATGGGTAGTGATATTTTTTTAACGCTTTTTATCTAGAAAGGGGCATTTCCAGGTATCTTCAATTAAACTTGTCACATAGCCCTAGTACAGACATTCACCAGCCCCCCGAGGTATTAAGTTTTGGTCCCACCACACTGCACCCGTCTGCTCTTTACTTCCCCTGGTGTAAGTAGTTTGCAGCCCTGTCATTCTTTTCTCTCTGTGTGCCACAGGCCTATTTGTTGCATTTGGTTAATGTGGGTCTAGGCCCACCACAAACATCTATAAACCCCCCTTAAAAAGGGAGGTTGCTGAGAATGCAGAAACTGATTGCTTGGGACAAATAAAGAAAACAGGAACAGGAGCAAGGGTTACAGGCTCAAAACAAGGGATCCAGAGGGGGACACTGAGCCGAGCACACCAGCCAGCACCCACTGCCCCCTGAATAAATCGAGGGAGCCTGTGGATGCTGACCAATGAAACTGCTGGGAGATGTGAGTGGAGGAGTGACACTCTCCTGGGTTCCCTCTAGTTGCAGCCTCCTTCCTGGTCTTGTAGATGGCCAGGTTGGCCAGAGCCAGAAGGAGGTTGACAGGGAGTTCCAGGGCTTGGTGGGGCCACAGATAGGGGATACATAACAAAAGGTGTGGGGAGAAGTGCAGTGAGGAGGAGACCTATGTGACACAGGATACTGGGCAAGATGGACCCATGCTCTGGCCCTATAAATGGCAGTTCTTATGTTCTCTCAGGCATGCTCCCAAGACTCAGATGCTCAGTCCAAGATGTGGGATCTTGGAGCACAACTGTTCTAGGACCTCAGAAATAGTGTTAACCCCAGACCAAACTCCTGTGTAGTTTAAGCATACCTTTTCCCAGCACTGCAAACTTGTGGACACTCCAGGTTTATGATGCAGCTCTTTGGAAATGCATGAAAGCTGAAACAAACAGACACCAAAACAGAGGAAGGATTCCAGAAGTTGGTTTTTACTCTATTCTACAACATACATAGATGCTGACAAAACAATAACCAGCTTTTTGCATTTTCCTGCCTCAATTTCCTTATATATTCTTTGGGCCTACATTGTGCTCCTCGAGGGAGTTCAGGGTTTTTCTGCACATGGTTTCTCTCCAAATTCTGGCATCGCTCCCTGTGAAGTCACTTTCCTTCTTCCTTGGCTGGTCTATAAAGCCCCCTTGCTATAAAATTGTACTCCAAAATGTATTAGCAGGACATAGGAGTGCTATGGAAGGGGACTCATGGATTAATGACACTTCGCCTCCCCAGCTGAAGTGCCTTCAGTCTAACACTGCTCGTCACTCACGTAGTCACACGCATCAGGAAGCAGGAGGATTGCATAATTTGGTCTTCCCATCTCATTCCAGGCGTGCTACAGCAGGCTGTGGCAGCTTCACTTGTTCCTCAGAGTACCAGCCTCTTAGTCTTGATGTGTAATATGAAAGTCCTTGTTCAGGCATTGACATCACTAGATCAGAGCAAAGAGCTTTTGCCACTTTTCCCACTTAATGCTTGCTCTCAAAAGTAGGCAAGCTGAGGAAATGGCCCAATGTCTTAGAGGCAAAAAAAATCCTGCAATAATCAACCTGCGCTGACTGTTCAGCAACACAGAAGTTTGAAATCAGATAGTACTGATCTCCCCAGTAGTTGCGGAGGCCATTTGTGGCTGCGACCATGGTAACCCGAGGACTGCCTACCTAGGCAAAAGAGAACAGCCTGCATCTACCTAGCAGGGGTTAGAGTGTGTAGACCTTGTAACAGATGATGCCTGACTGTGAGGTTGAGTCACACTGTGAATTTTTTCAGGTTTACATGACTGCTGGGAAGACATACGGGCTGGAGAAAATGCTGAGGGACGTAGAGGAACGTGCCCATCACAGTGGAACCACTGATTCTGAATTGTCTGAGCTGGAGGACAAAGTGGCATCAGCAGCTGCACAGGTGCAGCATGCAGAGAGCGAGGTAATAGCTCTTGTCTGGAGACACATCTCATTGACTCAACAGAGATAGCAAACAATCTTAAAATGGCATTCTGTTGGGATCATGAAAAATAGCTGATCCACTGAGGCCGAGCTACTCAGTGCCTTGCCTTTGAATATTTCCTGGTTCCCAGTGACCTTAGTAAAAACACAAACCCTGAAAGAGTGTTTCCTTTACGTTGTCATGCTGCCCACCTGCTCACCTGTATGTGCATGCTTGTATACTTGGGAAATTACATACGTTTTTTTTTCTCTCTGAGGTGTCGGATATAGAGACTCGGATTGCAGCACTGAGTGCCGCTGGGATGACTCTTAAGCCAATGGAAAAAGCAAAGAAGAAGTCAAGTATGCCAGTGAGTTTCTGGTTGCAGAGGATGTATGGTATAAGGACCCAGCTTGCAGCTATGCTTGTTCTGCTGTGCTCCAGAGATGTTAAAGCCAGAGAGGACCCATATGATCATTACCTCATCTGATCCTATAAGTAACCCAGACCCAAAAACCTCTCCCACTAACTTTAACCCAAGTACTGTGGACCAGAAAGGGCTATCTGGAAAGCATTTTGAAACAGTCTTTTTCTCTCATCTAACACTTTGCCCATAAGACTCAAGCTTCTCCTTTCTTGAATCTAATTGCCAGGTTTCACAAAATGAAAATACCTAGTTGGTTGCTTGGGGCAGGTGAATTTTTCACTTCAGTAAAGAGCTTTTCCTCCCTGAATTACAAAGCATCTTAAAGAAGTGATTTGGTATCATTATCCCTGCTGAGGCACAGGAAGTTGTAGTGATTTGGTCCCCTTCAAACAAGGATACAAACTTCCCCATACACTGTAGATCAAACAGTTACATTGGACAAGCAGCACAGGTATTTGCAGAGTCCTGGCCTGCTCTTTTTTGTGAATGCCACCCTCTCCATATCTCTAAGGAATAGATATACTGTTCTCTCTCTGTTTCCTCTATGTTTGCCTTCTGTATGGGAGAAATGCCAACCGGCCTCTTCCATTTCCCCCCTTCATCTTATAAAGAAGATATTTATCTGACAATATGTGTCATTTCAGTATTCCAGCCATTTAAATTGGGATACCTTGGCCACCTTCTGAGAATCAGTCCATGCAGGGTGGTAGAAATCCATATTTTTAAAAGATATTGTAGGTTTTTGCTGTTGTTTGTATTACAATAATGCCTAGAGCCCTCACTTAAGATCAAGGCTTCCCTGCGGTAGTTGCTGTATATATGCATAGAAAGAAATAGGTTCTGCCTTACAGACCTCATATAGTAGTTTAAATAGACAAGACAAATGGAGGGAGGCCAGACGGAGGTGTAGTGACTTGCCCAAGGTCAGCCAGCTGGGTACTAGAAATCAACCCCTGGTTCCTGAGTCCTCCTTCAGCGTGCTATCTACTAGATCAGCTGCCTCACCACTCTGAGCCTTGACAAACTGCTTAAGAAGCTCGGGAGTTTCCTTCATTGGAAGTTTGCAAGGAGAGGCTGGAGAGACATCTGTCTGGGATGGTTTAGAAACTGTAAATAGTGCAGAGGCTTGGATTAGATGATTCTAGAGATCCCTGTCACCCCTATGATTCTAAGTCACTATAAACTCACAGCTTGCTCAGAATCATCTTGGAGGTTGTACCAGCATGGAGCACCAGTGCTGCAAATGTCCCAGATGCTCTAGTCAGCCCACAGGCATCAGAATCTATGTATTTTGCACTGAAGAAATCATAGAAATCTTTGTCATTTCTTCTGTCTCTAGGTGTTTACTCTTCATTCTCCCAGGCATGGAAATAGTCAAGAGGGTCAAAATATGAACTCGCCATCTATAACATCACCAAATGATGTCAAAGTGAGTATTTGGGTAGTCCGCTCTAGAAAGATATGGCAAGCCTTTATCCTCTCAGTTGCCCCTTTAAACATAATCTAAACTTTTGCTGACCTCTGCTCTCTGAGTCTTCAGAGACCTGTGTGAAATGGATATAGGAATTTGACCCAATTCCTAGTGGGTACATGTCCACATCGCATGTTCATTGCCATCAATAATTGGCGACTGTTGTTGGCAGTCTAGGCAGAAAGACCAGCAAGCCACTTCCATTGTGCATAGAGAAGGTCTGATTTAGCAGTCCATTCCCAGTTACTGAAACGTGTACCTAGGTGCGCTGCTAAACAGGGATCAATTTATGCAATTGTGGAATTAGGGAAAAATTGATTCTGGCAATCTGGGCCAGAGAAATGTCAGTGAAAAGGAGTTGACACCATTGATAGAGGAAATCCCAGGTTACATCCATACTCTGGTCAGGAGGTGCAAGTGTATAGCATGTGCAGACATGCCCAACCTAGTTTTAACCTAACTAGTTGCAGTACCAATAGCAGGAGACCTGTGGCAGCACAGATTTCAGCTACTGTGTGAAACTCCAGGGTCCCCGGCAAGACTTATAGTCTTGCCTCGATATTTTTGATATGGTGGCTGCACAACTATCAGTACCAGAGCTAGCTAAATCAAAGCTAACACAAGTATGTCTTCATGTGCTGAAGTTGCATCTTCTGATGTACCCCTTAAATGTGGATGTGCCATCAGATTGCCTAGAGCCGTGAGTTTGGTAACTTATATGAGTGCTAAGTTATTTTCATTATGAATTTGCTCTAATGCATGCTGCCCTTTGGACAATGCAGGCTTCTGTATGGTTCCCACCTTTCTAATTATCCATCTGGCTGTCAAAAACACCATCTACCACAAGTGAAGACAATACCAGCAGACAGTACCAACCGGGATACAACGCTACAGCCTTACAGTTAGTCCAAAGAAGGATGAGAGAGCTGTCTTTCAAATGGGATTTTGCTATTTAAAAGGATTAAACATTTTTTTTCTTTTCATCTTCTGTTTTTATCATGAACTAGCCAATTGCCCATCAAGAATGACAGGGGGAGGAGAGGGGCAGGGGACTGGGATGGAGTGCCACCACCTAATGCCCCATGCTACTGCTGTTCTGCCTCTTGCAGGGAGCGGGGTGGGGGAGCCAAGGTCAGCAGCGCCAGTCCTTTGGTCCTGTCCTTGGCACGGCTTCGGAATCATGGCTCACGCTTGGAGCGCTCTAATTGGCTGTTTCCGTCAGCCAATCAGAGTGCAAATAAAGCACTACAGACAGACTTCGTTTTTTATAATATTAGAATTGTGGGAGCAGGAAGCTAATGAAAGTGGACTTCCTGCCAGTGCATGCTCAGCCGGCCTCTTTCATCCTGAGTGGATGTATTGTGAAGGGTTTGACATTAGTATTTTTCTTAAACACAGTGAAAAAGGTTAACTTTAAGTCTATCTACCACCCTCATTATATAGCATAAAGGGTTTGGCCACACCAACTGGCAACAAGTCCTTCTTTTTCTGTTATAGGTAATGTCCATGCCACAGGTATTACAGAAGAAATTTAACAGCTCTTTTGAAACTGCAGGTAAGACTTGTGTGCTCTATCTGTGCCCAGGGAAGTGGTCAAGGCAGTATCATAGCTTGCAGAAGATAATGTCCCATACTTGTAGTCATAGATCACCTCTCTCCTGCCCTCATCTATTAAGTTCAAGAAGGGATCTCATACAGCGAGGGCAGTGGCAGGGTTTTAGGCAAGGGTTCTGTAGCATCTGAGAGACAGAGGTTTCATTCACGTCACTAATAGATTCTGTGTACAAAAACGAAAGGTGCTGCCTCCAGGCCAGGGAGCCAGGGAACAAAGTCTCCATCAGCAGCCAAGCTGAGTCTGAGACCAGATTTTAATTCTCTCATATACCAGCATACATGTCATTGTGATGAAAGGTCCCTATCTCATAGACTGATCATAAGGAAATCCAGGACACTGCCTCCCTCCCCACCCCTCACCCTATGCTCTTACAAGGCAGCAGGAGCGGGGCAGTGTGGCGGGAAGGTGGCAGTGCCTGCCCACCCACCTACGAGGTGCTCCACACCACTCCAAGTCCTAGCCAGACTGTGCCCTTCTCCCCTGCATTTATGGGACCCTCATTATAATTCTCAACAGCTGGCTAGGACCGACCTCTGAAATCTGGGACTGTCCCAATTAAACTGGGACATATGGTCACCCTGCTGTCTCACCAGTCTAAGGCCAGGCCTGTCTGAGCAGGGTCCTAATTTCCCTCATAGCCCTAATGAAATGCACATTGCTGAAATGCTCCCACCTCTTTTCATCCTCAGTATTTGCCACTCATCTCATATTCTTGATACAAGTCCACTTTTCAGTTGTTACCTTGCCACTTCTGGCCCATTATAATTCTGATCTGTCTAGGAGCCATCACCTAGCCCTGTGCAGCCTACACTACGTTACTGCAGCTAAAAGAATTTCGAAGAGAATGAAAACCTGGAAGTTAACAGCAGTGGCCATACAATGATGAAGTCCTGGACAGTGTTACATCCAACAGCCTTTGGCTAAAACCATTAGGAAATTACTTTTCTATTTCTTTCTTATCTTGATTTGTAAGCCCACAGGAGGAACTGAAGAAAAAACTGCTTTCCTTGGAGATAATAATGAATAGGAAAGAGAGAAGTAATCATTTAATGCAGAAAATGAATTACAGTTGCCTTCCTCCAATTAAAAACGAATGGCAAGGCCTGTTTCCTGAGTTCTGCTGACAGTGAGGTCCCTTGTCTTTGTTTCTGAGGAAGAGTCATCTGCTCTTCCCCTTAAAGGCAGCAAGATAAGCAGGGCTCTTCACCCCGAGCTTGCAGATAAAGTGATGGTGAAGTCAAAAGGACGTCAGGGTGTGTGTCTAATCCCTCCATCCACTCTGTATCTCGCCATATCTCCTTGCCATTCTTCCCACAGGGCAATGACATGCAAGCTCGCTCAGGGGGGAAGTGGAGATTAGGAAAATTGGAAATAGGCCGAAGAGAATGGAAGATTATTTAGTGGTTGAGAAGGTTGCCCCTGTAACCCTGACACGTCAGGCTTGATAGTGATGTCAGGATCACACAGCAGGAGTTGGGTATACCAAGGGTATACCAAGGAAGTTTCCAGAACATGCCATACCATTCAGTGCAGAGAGTTCAATAAGTGGAGTTAAACAGGGCTGTTTCATGTGGCTCCTCTAAGCTGCTTTGAAAATTAATAATAATAATTAATGTGCCTTTTTGTGGATAGAGGCCCCTGGGCTGGGACAATCCACCTTCCAGACACAATGTGTGTTACACCATTAGAATGGGACAAACACAGCCTTGGTTTTAAGCAGCTCAGTCTCTTTAGAAGTCAGTGCAATGGGACCTGCTTCCATCAGGGCTCACTTTGGCCCTTTTTGTCCCTTTAACAACGAACTGGAATAATTAATCCATGCGTGCTGTCAATTATCCCCCCTGCCTCCAGACTAGGGGCTACACCCCTGGACCATGTCGAAGCTCTGATGGGTCCACAGACTCTTAAGATGCCCTAACTGTAGCAGAAGATTTTCTATTACTTGGATTCCTCCACAGCCCTTCAGTGCAGGGACCAGAACAGATCTGCGTGGGTGACATGCCTGGAGCACACTGCTCCCATGGCCCCTTCACTCCTCCAATGCACTGAGCACAGCTCCTTTCCCCTTTCCCAGAGATATTTGCAAATTCAGCTGGCATCAGACACATGTAAGGCCATTAAGACTCAATGCCATGCATGCTTTGATTCAGGGAGGAGGAATCACAAATGCAGCATGTTGTCCAGTGCTTCAAGTATATGAAGCAAGCCCCTATTTTCATACTGTTAAATTTTTTGCGCAGAATGTTGTTTCACATTTTTTCCTCATAGATCTTAAAAGAAAAACCCTTGATTACTTGAATGTATTATGAGATTAAGGGCAGGAAAAGGGTTTTGTAGAGATAGCTGGCCAGGCCTATATGCATTACTTTTTTGTGTCCTGTCTGCTTAGCTCAGTACCATAGCAAGGGGAGGGTGGGGAAAGGGGACGACCGCCCTGGGTGCTGAAGCGAAGGGGTGCCAACAGGCACTGTCCAGCCGGGACAGGGAATGGGACATAGCTGTGAGCAGCCCCTCCAGGGGGACATGGGACGTGGGGGGCGGGGGGAGGTGGCTCCAGCTGCTGTGTGCACTCCTGGGCAAGCATGGCGGGTGTGTGCCCCCCAGGTCTGTATGCAGAGTGAGGGCAGGCTGCCACTGCAGGCTTGCCCCAGGCGCCAAACCTCCTTGCTACAGTATGGGTGTCGCTGGACGGTTCATACAAGTAGCCTCACTTGTGAACTAGTCCAGCTGCAAAAGAACAGGCTGCATTCGATTCCACTGCCAGCATTAACAGTATTACCCATTGCACAGTGGCCCCAGAGTATTTAATGATGAGGCAGACCCCAGCTCGCCTTTTAGTCAGCACGTTGAGCTTGCAGTCACAGTTGCAGTGGCCTTAGTTTTTCCTTTATACCAGACATTTTAAGTGGTTCTGGACTGAAATAGTGCTTTTGTTGACTTCAGTGATAACCACAACCTTGCCACATGACAGGATCACAAACAGAAGAAAGTTGTGGACAAATGCAAAGGGGAGAAAAATCTCCATTTATAAAATTTTTGAACAGAAGTCTGAAAGTGACAAAGTTTGAGTTTTATGGGCCCGTACACTGCATTGACACCTGAGTAAATTGGATTGAAATGATTACTAGATCACAATATAAGCATTTTATGAAACTTTGCCTTGGCTGCAAATGGCTGTATGAGCAGCCAGGTAAAAGAGGGCCTATGCATCCAGGATAATCCTTCTGTAAAGCCCACCAGTGGGGCACGTCACGTGTGCAGTGTTGCCATTTCAGGAATCTGTTTTGATTAAAGTATTAAGCCAGTCTCAAGATATGGAGACATCCTCCTGACTTGCTATAGCATCTGTGAAGCTACTGCTTACATTCTTCTCTCATCATTTTTAAGGAAGGCTCATGCTGTGTTTCTAAATAGCAAAGTAGGGAAGTATAGAAGTATAATACAGGAATCACTACTAGAATAATGAGTATTTAGGTGCTGGTTCTTTGCAGCCTAATGAACTGGCAGTCTATTTGTTTGAATTGTTAGCCCATTCATGAAATGTACAGAATGAATTGTGAATGAGGGTACTAGAAGAATGGGTAGCTTAGTATTTGAAGCCTCTGACAGGTACAGAATAATAACTGGTTTGCATGCTAATGTTTGTCTTTAATACAAAGGGTCTAATTCTTTGATTTTATCCCATTGTAAATTGGAAGCCATTGGAATTATACTAGTGGAAAACTGCTGTAAGTAAGAAGTAGTCTAACAAAGCTATTTCTAAAAATCTGTGTATTTGTCCAGTCATCTAATTATGAAATAGGGCTATATTGCCAGTCTAAGTCATTTTATCTTGTGTTTTTGGTTTTTTTGAAGGTGATGAATCTTTTGATAGACAGTCCTTTTACCGGGGCTCTTTGACACAAAGAAACCCCAATGCGAGGAGCAGGAGAGCAGAACGCATCTTTGCGGTAAATTTCCAGAAGCTACCTTATTACCTGGATAAAACTATTTAGAGGGGATCAGTCCGCAAAATAATGAATCAGAGTAGGGCTCTGATTTTCTGTTCTTTCTGGCCTGCATTCAGTCTGGGATTTGAGGGGGCATGGTAAAAAAGTGCCAACAGGTCTGCTCCACAGTGGGAGATGAATGGGTCCCACTGAAGCACCCTGTTTTTCTCCTTTTTGCCTAAGATTCTACCTATCCTGGGGGCTTAAAGGTGGTATTAGGCTCTAAAGGGTTTGTACATTTAATCAAATAAACTCATTAGGAAGAAAGCTGCAACATTGATTGTTAAATTAGACATAGCAGCAAAAGATGAGTTGTGTTAATTGAATTATGCCCTCTGATCAGAAAACTGGGAGTAGGAAGAATCTGAGAAGTGCCTTTCAACAGCCCAGCTGTTAAATACTCAGCTTGCTGAATTCACTTTGAGTAAACAATGTTTCTTCACAAGGGTTGTTGACAAATGGACTTGCTAAGGAATACCTATGTTACTTTTAAATTCATACCATACCTTAATTGAAATTAACTTTCAAGTATAGCTAAGTCCTCTTACAATATGGTGCCCAAAATGGGAAACTCTACCAATTATTTTATCCCTCTAAATATTGGCATGGTGCCTGTGAGTCAGTCAAGTCAATGAATACACAGATGGGAATAGGTCTCTACAATACTGAAATCTGTGAGAGGTCAATAGAGCCCAGAGAATACCACCCGTGCTTCTCAGATTCATTCTGCCCACCCTCAGCATGGCACACGTAACATGGGCATGCCAAGCTTAGAGCTAACCCTGTGATAGATAGCCAAGTAAGCAGACTGTTCCAGAGGCATTGTGGGAGCACATGAGTTGATCTACAGTGGGTACATGCTCTACTAAAGTGGTGCTGGCAACTTCATCTGCCATCCTGGTGAAAGCTGTAATCAGGGCAACTCACTCATGAGTTGAGATTGTATGATGAGGGGAAAAGTCAAATGCATCTTGTAAACAGGAAGTAAATCCATATGCTCAGGCAGCCTTGCATGTTACATCATGGATCTCTAACATTTTCATTTCCCTGTTTTGGTGTTTGACAGAAGCCAGTGATGACCCATCGACCCTGAGAAAGGCAGATGCTCCCTACCCTGATGTTTTACTAATGCTGCAAGACCTCAGCTCAAAGCTTCACCTTTATTTCCTTAATGCTTGCTTTTCCTTCTACTGCTCCCTTACCTGAAATGCCAGATGAAGGGAAGAAGCACTCCTGCACAGTGGGGAATCCTGTTCAGTTGTGTTTACAGAGCTCAGAGTTTCAGCCTCACTGCAAGAGAATGTGGGTCCAATTCTGAGTAAGACACCAACTGATTATTAACTGGCAAGTCTTCTGGGCTACAGAAGCTGGCAAAGCAGGCCCAAGAAGTGCACCATGTGCCCCACTATCTCCTTTAAGAAGTTTTGATAGCTGTGACCCACAGACATTTGTTTGAACGTTTGGCTTGAAGAAACATTGTCAAGGTTGGTAAATGTGGGCCAAGTATGTGCCTGATCCATGCCTGATGGCTTCACAGAAGGAAAGAATTTGTCAGTGAGTTTTCACTCTAATATTGCTTTTCTATTGAGATGGTTCAGTGAATGGAACCATATGCATTAAAGTGTTTTGCAGTGAATTTAAGCTGCATAGTTCCCATTGTCTTCAATGGGAATCACATGGCTAAAAAGTTGATTTGCAAATGTCCAGCATATTTGCAAAAGTCACGCAATCCATGTTCTATCCATCTTTTCCCTGTGGGTATGTACTGTGCAGTGACAGAGACAGGAGTTGATTGTGTATGAAGTGTGTCTTGACTTACCAGTGCAATCCTTTGCTGAATATAACTACTTGAGGCCCACCTATAAAATACAGACTGCAGAAAAGTTTATGACTTCTGGCAACTTGCAAACCAGCAGGATGGGAAAAGGGGTGATGTTGAGGTAAAGAATATATTCAGTGACTATTAATTCTGTTAGCCAGGTACGTGAGTTACCTGCTCAACTATGATGCACCATGAAATAAAAGGGTTAGCAGTAGGTCCTAGACCTAGATTTGGTGCTGAGTCACTTTGGACGAGTCATCTTCTCTGTGCTTGATTTTTCCCCCACTAGTAAAATAGGTGATTTATCATGCTGACTTAACCCGGTAAAGTGCTTCAGTATGTAAATATAAAGCATTATTATCAACACTAAATAAAAAGGCCCCATAGAGGGATTATGCAGCTTTTTTTCCTCACTAGGAAAGCAGAGACAAGAAGGGTAACTGGGCTTCAATATTTTTGCTTAAAGAAGTGACCACTCAAGCTCCCATTTCACTCAAGTCCCATTAAAATCCATAGTATTGAAGCACTTTGCTTAAGGAGACTTCTCAAAATTAGGGTCCAAGTTGCCAGGCAAGTACAGGCCCTTAGGTAGTCTGTGTTGGATCTGACATCTTTTGGGAAAAGTAACTGTCACAAAACAGTTTAGCCTAGACAAAAGCCAGGCAAAATGGCAGGCAGTGCCTTAGCCTCCTTACCCCTCCATCTGGAACATGAAATTCATTCCTGTCTTTGAGTTTAATTTGCCTTCATCCAATAACGCCATTGGTCTCAAGTGTTTGTACAGCACCCTTCCCCTAACTTATAGGTGCAATTTGCTCTTGCTATCTTGTTACTTCCAAGAGAGATTTGTCAAAAGACTTCTCTCTACATTTTCTAACCTGATCTTTTGGTGCACAGTCTTACCCTTGTGAAGGGGAAGTTCTGGTTGGATGAACTAGTCTTTCCCTCCACAACATAAAATCTAGATAGTGTCACCTGAAGCTGAAGCAAAAGCAGTAGAGGCCAAACCAACTGATGTAAGAAAAGAATTCTCCCACAGCAGCTCAAACAGGAGGGCTTGAGGCCATCCCAGTATTTTAAAATAAAATAATTAAAGAAAAAGCATGTGAATCCTCAGATTAGTCACACATTACTGTATGAGAGTTTGGTTGTGATTTGGGAGTCCCTAAACATATATAAATGTTCCATGGTCACCTCGGAAGGTGGTCATGTAAAGAGCAGAAAACAGTAGGAAGTGTTCTTTTTGTAAGAAATTCTGCAATTTTAAAATATTTTGGTCCAAAATGTAACCAATTAAAAATTAAATTTCTGTAAATTGAAATTCTGAAAAATACTTATTTCCAGTCAATTATTTCATTAAAAATAAATACTTTTGTTTTGATTTTGCCCTTTAAAACTTGTTTAAAAATGTCTTTCTTTAAAGTAAACAGATGGTTTTTATTTCAAAATGTCTATTTGAAAGAAAACATCTAAATGTTCCACTCTAAAAGTGTAAAAAATAAGAAACTTTGATATTATCAGAACACTTCATTGGGGGGAGTGGAGAAGAGAGAAAACAAAACTCTGTCAAAATGGGCATATTTTCTAATGCATTTTAATTTCACCAAAAATGGCACTTTTCAGTAAGTGGCAAGGATCTCTTAGGAAGATATCTTTTATTGGATCAACTGTGTAGTTAGGATGGAGTTAGACAAGCTTTTGAATGCCACGCAATCTTCTTCAGGTCTGACCAGAAAAGGCCAGGCACAGCATAATAAAGAACAGTTGTGGCCACTTGTTTTGGTCCAGCATATTTATTTTCCTGGGTGTGGTAGCTGAAATGACTTCAGATGACTTTGTACCTCCTGCATCATTGTAATACAATTCACATAGAAGACATGTCTGATCTCAAGTTCCCATTTAAAGTCCATAGTAGCCAATTCCATTCTTACTAATACAACTTAAGCTGAGATATGATTTCTCAAAAAGATGGTCTCTGACTAAGCTATTGTTCCATTTAATCAGTATAGGCCACTTAAAATTATTACACCTAGATGCATAGAAACTAACTTTCAGTCAGCTGGACCGTTGCAACTTCCTGCAATAAAATTAAATTGCCTGTTGCATATATTTCACAAGTGAGCTGCCTTTAGGCATTAACATAGTGGTCCAGAACCTCATGTGGTATAAGATAGCTCCACTGAAGTCATAGAGTGATGTAGATTTATACCAAGTGAGGATCTAGCCACACTGTAGTACAAATGTACCCTTTGCAATACCTGTTTTCACCCTTAGTCCAGTACTAGTCAATCAGAATCCTAACCCCATGGAGAAGTCCTCATGACAGACCTCAAAAATGTAAAATAAGGCATTGCTTAAACTGTAGTTACCCAAGCATTTTAACTTTCATCCTCTTCTGTTTCTATATAAATATATGGCCTAAATCATTCAATAAAACTGATTTTGTGTTGAGATTCAAACATCCATTTTGCACAGCATCTGATTTTCTTCCTCTCAGTTCACTTTCCTCGCTTTAACCAGGCAATGCAAATGCATCCAATGAAAAAACTGAAAAGTACAGGAAATGAAGCTGTGTCTGAAGTTTGGGAGATGTGGTAGGATAGGGAAATAAAACAGTAAGTTTGTTCCCCTCACAGTGATCACAAATGTATTTCGGAGCAGGAGAGCAGGGAAAGAAAGGAATAAGTTTGTTCCCCTTGCATTGATCATAAGCTTTTCCAGGAGAAGTACAATAAATGTGTTCAATTATACACAATGCTGTACAGTCCCATTTAGGATGTATCATGTTACCTATGTTCTTGCATATTATACCAATGCATCTCAGACCCCAGGCACTTACTGTAACATGAGAGCATTAGCACTTGTGATCACTTGATAAAACTAAATAGAATGAAGAAAATAGTTTCTAAAATACAAAAAAATGTAACAGGGACAAATGTTTTTATTTTAATGACCACACCTCTCCAAGGACCCAAGTAATCTCATTTGGATGCCGTGATCTAGTTAGGGATTAGCAGAACAGGCAGGTTTAGTCATAAATTCTGTTGTCTAAATTGATTATCTGTTCAAAATGGCAAGTTGTTAAGTCAATACAGAAATATATTAAAGGATTTCTTCATACAGAAACCAAGAGGGACTGTGGCTTGTTTGTTAATTTTCTGTTCTGCTTTGCAATCTGAATTATCTTCTTCAGAACACAAGTCTCATTTGTCCTTTGAAAAATCTTCCCCCAAAGCATGATTCATCTCCCAACAAAGCCAGTGGGAGCTCAGTACCATTGAACATCATATTCAAGTGCTTAAGTCTTACATGCCTAACCTTACAGGAGTAATTAGCCAACACTGCCCTCTTCTGAGACAATCTTAACAGAGAATGCAAAAGAGCTAACTGAGCAGCTCTGTGCCAGGGGCTGTATGCATGCCAATTATATCAAAGGTAGCTGACAGATGGACTAACTGGTGATTGTTGATCATTGTTCTTCCTTTTAAACAACCAATGCAAACTCTCTTCCATACCTACTGGCTGTGTTTTCAAGAGCCTGACCACTGTTCAGTGCAAAGCTGAGCCATGTTAGCTGCAAACAGGTAAGAAAACACCAGGAATATGACCAGATTAAGCATGCTGTCAGTCCCTTGGAATTGTTTTATTTTTTGACAAGTAGTAAATTTGCCAAAAATGGCCGTTTGGAAAGACCCATGGGAGGAAAAGATTTAAGAAGTCAAAATGACTCAATTGAACAGTTTTTAAATGAAGTAATGTATTTTAGTAGTGTTGGAGGGATGTTGTAGCTGTGATGGCCCTGGAATTATTTGAGAGGCAATGATTTTTGTGGGTGTTATCTATTGATGATACTGCCCCCAAATTTCTGCTGTACATAGGGTGCATCTACATGAGACACTTTACTGCATAGTAGCATAGTTTACTGTGCAGTAAGCATGCATGTCTATATGTGCACATGCTTAGTTTGCAGTAAACCTCGCTAATCACGAGTAAATTTGGTACCCACAAATGCAAGTAGCAAATTTACTTTCAATTACTAATGGTGCAGTAATGCTCATGTAGATGGCTGACCAGGAGCCAATCGGCTTCCAGTCAGCCAGCCACCAGGGGCAGGAGATTGCTCCCTGCTGCTGCGGTGGGCTGCACAATCACAACCCAGACAGGGACTATGTCTCCCTTCCCCAACAGCAGGGAGCTCCAAGCCCCCCACGCTGAGATTGCAGTCATGGGGCTGGCACTAGGAGATCTTATCTCCCAACCCAAGCTCTGCGGAGCTGGTGCTGGGAGCTCCCTGCTGACAGGGGGCTGGGGAGTCTGTTCCCCACCCAGCTCCACACTCATGGAGCTGAGAGGGGAACAAGCTCCCCAGCCTGTTCCCCACCCAGCTCCATGTTCACGGAGCTGAGCGGAGAACAAACTTCCCAGTCTCTGCCCCAGGATCATGGAGCAGGGGCTGGGAACTATCCTGGTCAGGAAGTGATCTAGGTTAGTGGTCTCCAAAGTGGGGTGCGCAAGACTATCCATTGGGGTGCGGGAAGAAAATATTAGAACTTCTATTTATATAGATAGGGGTGCACAATCAAAAAAGTTTGGAGACCACTGATCTAGATGATCAAAGCATGGGGCTTGGAAAGAGCTGCAAGGGTGGGGTAGGTCACTTTCCCCTGCCCCAATCCACCAGTGGAGCAGGTAGCAGTGAGCTAGCTTCTAGATGCCCCACCGGTGGGTCAGGGAAGGGGGCTGGGACCAGCCCCTCCACTGCAGCTCTTTCCAAGTCCCCTGCCCCCTGAGCTCCCTGCTGCCAGAGCAAGGGGATACTGTCCCCACCCCAGCAGCAGACAGCCCCCCAGGGCAGGGTGCAGTGTCCCAGCCTGGGCCAGGAGACAGCTGTCTCCTAGCCTGGTGTTCCCTATCAGCCCCAGCGAGAGCCTAGAGCTCCCCGCGCTGGTGGCAGAGACCCATTGCAGGGCCCCAGGAAGCAGGAGAAGTTTGCTGCCATTAGTATGCTTCCTACATGTGCAGATGCCTGCTCAGGAGCATTTGCTCATGAGTGGTTTACTTGCAAGTAAACTGCTTCCAGATCTAATGCACATGTAGACACACCCACAGATTACACTTTTCAAGCACGTCCTCTAGTGCAGCTGGAATCAAGACTACCTGTGTATAAGCACGTGTTTTCTATAGAGTCTGAGAGTCCTCTGCTTCCCACCATGCTCTGTTACTGGAAATTCCCAGGCAAGCCTCTTTTTCACCGCTGTTTCAAAGAAGCCAGATGCTCTGTAGGAGTGCACCACATCTGTCCATGAGGTAAGGACAGATTCTCCAGGACTACTTTTCTCTTGAAAGAAGACCACCTCAGCTTGGTAAGCCCTGGGGACACAGGAGAGCATTGACACCTTTTTTTCCAAGGCTTTGGACTCCAGTCCAAACAGAGAGGGAAAATCGATTGCATTTTTCTATTTCCCTGGGACAGTTCATTTTGGCATAGCAATCTGCTAACATAAAGCTGAGATTATAACCTGGCCCTTTGTCCATTTATGGGACCTTAGGTGAGCTCACAAGTAGTAAAACTAAAGGCTGAAACAAAGATATACCGTGCCACCTAATTTTAACAAGCCCAGCCTATAACAAATCTCTACATCTAATGATCCCAACAGCAGGATCCAATTTTTCACTAATATGATGCAGTACATTGACTAACCCTATTATAGCAAACATGAACTCTTAATGAACTTTTCTTTCGGTCCCTTGTGAGTTTATTATGATGAAGTTGTGATGTAAATGGCAAGTCAGTACAATCCTAACGAAAAACTGAATATCCCAGTTCAGCTGGTCTCTACCAGCATCTTCAATGCAGCAGAACGTTTTCCTCATGAAAACACTCACAATGCACTGACGTGTAGTTTTTTTAAGAGATTTTTTTCACCCACCTGTCAACTTCTGAAAAGGCTTTAAATTGGAAGAGCCCAATTCTGGGTGGTGATTTACTCTCCAAACCAGATTCTAAACAATTTCTATGTTTTTGTAAATGAAAAAGCTCAGATTTATTTCAACCCAAATGCATTAGAAATAATACTTTAAAGGAAAGGGGTGGAGGTTCTTATAAAATGACTCTCCAGTGTTACAATACCCTGAAATATAGGGGTCTGGAGTTTGTTATATTTGTCTAATCATATTGCAAAACCTCCCTGATGTGCTGAGAACTTGAATCCTCAACATCATAAATCTTCCTCTAGAGTTTTAAAAGAGGTATTTTATTTAAATTGGTAGGATAGGGACCATTGAAGGTCCTAAAACAGCCTTATTGTATTGGGAACATTGTGCTACAAGGACATATAAGGGCAGAAAATGGAATTGTATAGTTTTAACATTTATAACCAATTATTGGCCCCAAAGATTTGGCTTATTATCTTTGTCACATGCTTATTCTGTTGTGTCTACAATATTTATGCTTCTAAGAAGTCAGGTGAATTTAGGGAGTTGCTCTTCTAACTATTGAGGAGGGGTAATTTTGTTTATCTACTTTATGTTTAGGCCCCAGTCTTACCACTTGTAACATGGTAATGCACAGATGGTCTCAGTCAAGGTGCTGTTGAAATAAAAGAATATTTGTGCAGGTGTTGCAGTCTGCCAGAGCATTGCAAATCACAGGACTGAGGCCCAAGTTTGGGTTGCATATACTAGAGGAGCTGGTTTGTATCAAGGCAATTTATTCAACTGTAACTATACTGATATAGTTATTCTGACACAACCTCCTCATAAAAAAGAACAAACTGGGCACATCTACACATGCATTTATGTTGCATTAAACTTGCTGCACAGTAAGCGGGTTTACTGTGTCTCTACATCTGCAGCCACTAAAGTGCAGTAACACTGCATGTGGACTGACTTGCAACTAAAGTTAGTCCTAAGTCAGTCCACACACACAGTGTTACTGCGGAGTCTACACACACAGTAATTAATCAGGTGTGTATCTGATTCTGCCTGATGTAGGTATCAAATTTACACCCAAGTCAGCATAAGTTGCCATATTTACTGCACAGTACAAGTGTGCATGTGTAGGCACTGCCCGTACTATGCAGCAATTTTTGGTTACTGCGCAGTAATTTCGATTACTGCTCAGTAAATGTGCATGTGTAGATGCACCCACCAGAACCAAGACTTACACCTGTGTAATTTAATTCTATAGCATATATGCAGAAACTTATCAGTGGGATTCTTTGGAAATGTGTGCATAATATATGTGTGTGTGTGTGTGTGTGTGTGTGTGTGTGTGTGTGTGTGTGTGTGTGTGTGTGTGTGTGTGTGTGTGTGTGTGTGTGTCCATTGATGATTTACAGATGAGTACATTTTAGCATGAACTAATGTTACTAAAAAAGGTAGATTAGCATATTCCTAAATTATCTGATTTGTGTAAATGAAAAAAATATATAATTCTAAAGGAAAATAATTGCCATCATGAGTCATGAAAATCCCTTTCTTGATTTGATAAAAAATATGAATATAATGGGTCTTGGGGAGGGGAGGTGACATTAAAATGCCCTGGCTTTGTCCCGGGCTGCGTGTGTCTGTGACATCAGCACTAAGGCAAGGCATAAAAAAGGCAAACAGGAGATCTCCAGCTCGTGTGGAGTCCAGTGACTGGAGAAGGAAAGCAGCAGTGCACTCCAGACCTCCTGCTTGACACACAGTAAGTAGTTCAGCAGGTCTGTGTGTCATACACACGCACACCTCTGAGAAAAAGGCATCCTGCTGAAGAAAAGTGGGGAAAGAGAGAAATAGCCCAGAGGTAAACTGGAAAGAGTTTTAACTGCAAGCTTAATGCATTTGTTGGGATTGTTTTTCCATCCATTGTTAAGTTTTTTTGTGTGATGTTTTATCTTGGGGAAGTTGCTCTGTCCTTTCACGTAGTGACTCTTGCATGCTGTGGAGATGTGCCTATCTGAAGGTTTCTTTGTGTTTGTCACTGTTTCTGCATGTGCATATTTGTGTTCTATACATCATTGTGAGCACTGTTTAAATTTTAAGCAAACAACACTTTCCATAAAATGGGCAATAAAAAGCAGGTGTCTATACATGAAAGCCTACCCTCGGGTCTTATTTCTAAATGATTTTAAATTGCTTTT